TAAAATAACCACTGTACTTCCTAGGATATTAAATGTCAGACATTCGCACTGGTGATATTAAAGTTCATAAGAGCTTCACTTGAATTTGTAGGAAGTATCACAAACTTCTTTGAAATCGGTATAAAACAGCATAAAAAATGATTCACTGGAAGCTCAACTAGAAGGTGTTTTAAAGTTCACGTATGTCCATTCATCTGCCTATACCTATCTTTATATAATAATAGTCTCATTCTTTTCTGTCTTTCAAAATTCATATGAATACCTCTTATTTGCAGATTTGCCAGATGGATGGGAAAGACTGTTCTGAGGAATGTTCCTAACTTTTCTACAATGAAAAGAGAAAAAAAGCCTCTTAAAATGGAGGTGTTTGTGATGCCAAGCTGAAAACAAATAATTTATCACAAGAGAAACACCTGATTCAATGTCAGATTTAGTGATATCAATTTTTCCTCCTCATCATTTTATTACAGAAAGTATCTCAAATAACTTCAGCATTAAAAACACAAAAATGCTGGGTGTGGTGGCATGCACCTATAATCCCAGTGGTTTAGGAGGCTAAGGCAGGAGTTCAAAGCCAGCCTCTGCAAAAGTAAGGCTCTAGGGCTGGGTTTGTGGCACAGTGATAGAGCATTTGCATAGCATGTGTGAGGAACTCAGCACTGCATATAAATAAAATAAAGGTCAATTAACTAGTGAGTATTAAAAAAAAAAAAAAAGCAAGGTTCTAAATAACTCAGTGAGACCCTGTCTCTAGATAAAATACAAAATAGGGCTAGGGATGTGGCTCAGTGGTCGAGTGCCCTGAGTTCAATCCCCTGTACCCCCAAAACAAAAACAAAAACAAAAAAATGACCATTAGAATAATCAGTTAGTTTAATTCAAGTAGAATACCAAGTTTCAAACCAAAAATGTAATGAAATTTTTTTTTTTTTTTTGGTAACAGAGATTAAACCCAGGGGTGCTTAACCACTGGGTCACAACCCCAACCCTTTTTAAAAATATTTTTATTTAGACACAGGTTCTTGCTGAATTGCTTTGTGCCTCCCTAATTTGCTGAGGCTGGCTTTGAACTTGCAATACTTCTGCCTCAGCCTCCTGAGCTACTGGCATTACAGCATGTGCCACTGTGCCTGGTTTATAATGAATTATTTCCTTTTTTTTTTTTTTTGGCAGTGCTGGGTGTTGAACTCAGGGCCTTACACATGCTAGGCAAGTGCTTTTACCACTAAGCCACATCCCCAGCCAAATAATGAATTATTTCTAATGAAACTTTCTGTTCACACACTTGTGTCCTTGGTTGAATACTCTATAATCCAGCTGGTAAGAGGTAGCTGAAAGCAAACATATATATATATATATATATATATATATATATATATATAATATGTATTTCTAATTTCACTTATTTTTTGTTTTTATAGGAACAAATGGATCAGTAATATAATAGTAAAATTACAGTGAACAAAGTAATACTCACGTAGTTGCTTTCAACAACTTACACAGAAATTCACCTAATAGAATTGGATGGATATGTTATTACATACAGCAATGGCTGAACCTCCAGTTTGTTTGTTTAATTTTTTTTTAGTTGTAGTTGGGCACAATTTTGTTTATTTATTTTATGTGGTGCTGAGGATTGAACCCAGGGCCTCACACATGCTAAGTAAGCGCTCTACGGCTAAGCCACAACCCCAGCCCAAACTTTCAGTTTTTTTTTTTTAATTAATATTTTTTAGTTATAGGCGGACACAACATCTTTGTTTGTATGTGGTGCTAAGGATCAAACCCGGGCCGCACGCACGCCAGGAGAGCGTGCTACTGCTTGGGCCACATCCCCAGCCCCAAACTTTCAGTTTTTTAAAGGAAGATAGGATTTTCCAATGATCCTATCTTTAAAGAAGAGAACAAATTAATATGATTGACTCATAGAAGTAATATTAGGATCTGGACGTGATGATACATGCCTGTAATTACAGATACTTGAGAGGCTTGGCAGGAAGATCATGAGTTTCAGACCAGCCTGGGCAATTGTGGTTTTCTTCGTGTGACTGAAATACCTGACAAGAACAACTTCAAGGAGGAAAAGTTTATTTTGGGGTTATAGGTTCAGAGGATCAGTCCAGGCTTAGGTGACTTGATAGCTCTGGGCTGAAGGAAGGCAGAAAGCTGAGGCGGGAGAACATGGTAGAAGGGTGTTACTCTATTCATGGCCACCAGAAAGAAGAGAGAGTGAAATCTCTTTATCAACCACACCTCCTTTGGCCCCAGTTTTTCATGCACTTTTCTGGGCAAATTGTAAGTTTTTAAAATTCTTCAGGTCTGCTTTATGCTCCTGATTCTAACAGTAAATATGGCTGTCATCAGAATCCATGCCACTATCTGAATGCTTTGCTGTCTTGAAATTTTCTCCACCAGATTAACTAGTCCATCACTTTTATATTCAGCCTCAGGCAAAGTCTCAGAATATGGATGAAATGTAGATAAGTTCTTTGCCAGAATGTAATATGAATGGCCTCTAGTCCTATTTCCAATAGAGTCCCTGTTCTGAAACTACATGGACAGTCTTTACTGTCTGCTACGCTCTTAACATTCTGGTCATCACCAGCACCACCCATTAAGCTTTGGTTACAATATTTTAAGTTTTTTCCACCATGCATCTCCAAACTTTTCAAATTCCTTTGAAAAATCAGTTCCAAAGACTTGTGAACCAATGGTCAGGTTAGTCACAACAATGACCCCACTCCTGGTACCAATTTCTTTATTCTTTTTTATTAGATTTTTAAAAATTGTAGATGGACACACTACCTTTATTTTACTTATTTTTAAAAATGTGATGCTGGGCTGGGGATGTGGCTCAAGCGGTAGCGCGCTCTCCTGGCATGCGTGGGGGTTCGATCCTCAGCACCACATACAAACAAAGATGTTGTGTCCGCCGAAAACTAGAAAATAAGTATTAAAATTCTCTCTCTCTCTCTTTCTAAAAAACAAATATATATTAAAAATGTGATGCTGAGGATCAAACACAGTGCCTCATGTGCTACATGAGCTACAACTGAGCTACAACCACAGCGCCAAAGCAAATCTTTTAATCAATCACCATCAGAGACTTCTGTAACTCTGAACACTAAAGGGAGAGCTCAACTATAACAAGTTGACTGGCAGGCTTAAGAAGAAAGGATGGGGAGGAAGGCAAGAACAGTGAACAATGGTAAACGACAAAGGAGAAAAGTGAATTGCTACTACAATTGTACATATTATGGCACTTTGCCATCTGGATTTCACACAACATTTTGTTCATGCTTACAGCTCTTTCGATGCTGTATTTATTTATTTATTTATCGATGCTGTATTTAAATATGCTTAATGTAAACGTGTCTATCTCATAATCTGTGACCTCTTACAAGACACAACTGCATCTCACTCCATGGTATCCCTTCTGTAGGATCCATAGTAAATACTGGAACAGAGTTGAATTAATGTATGTCATTACCTAGGTTATCCATTTCCCTTCTAACAATCCAATAGGAGTCCAAACACAACTTGTATCTGAAGCACATTGACTAAAGTAAAATAGTGCAATTTAACTATTACTTCTTAAAGGATATGTAATATCTTTTAATATAGCATTTCCACATTAAGTATAATGGTTAGTGTAGGTTTTTTTTTGGGGGGGGGATTGAATTCAGGGGCACTTGGCCACTAAGCCATATCTCCAGCCCTATTTCATATTTTATTTAGAGACAGGGTCTCACTGAGTTGCTTAGCACCTCAATGTTGCTGAGGCTGGCTTTGAACCCGTGATCCTCCTAAGTAGCTGGACTTACAGGTGTGTGCCACCATGCCCAACTGGCCCTAAGGAACTTTGTGAGACCCTGTCTCAATATAAAAATATATAAAGGGCTGAGGATGTGGCTCAGTGGTAAAGCACCTCTGGGTTCAATCCTTAGTACAAAAAAAGAAAAAACAAAAAAGCATTCTGTTGCTAGCTTGGTATTTGTATTTTTTTCTTAAACAGATGTAAAATCTTCCCATGTATTTTTCTGTATCAATTAAGATAATCTTTTTTTCCCCTTCAGTATCATATAATTTTTTTCTTTAGTATCTCAGATTTTCTTTCTTCTTCTTCATTTTTTTTGCGGGGGGTACCAGGGATTGAACTCAGGGATATTCACCACTGAGCCACATCCCCAGCCTATTTTGTATTTTACTTAGAGACAGGGTCTCACTGAGTTGCTTAGCACCTCACTAAATTGCTGAGGCTGGCTTTGAACTCATGATCCTCCTGCCTCAGCCTCCAGAGCCACTGAGATTACAGGCATGAGCAACTGCACCCAGCCTCCTCTTTTTTAATGGCCAAATATCATCCTACTGAATGGATGTACTACATTTTGCCTATCCATTCATCTACTGATGGTTACTTGAATCATCTCTAACTTTTGGCTTTCACATGTTACAAAATACTCTTTTGGCTTTTGCTGCTATTTAAAGATATGAAAACCATTCATACCTCATAGGTCTTATAAAACTAAGCAAGGAACCTAGGTTGTAGCTCAGAGGTAGAGCATTTGCTTAGCAACTGTAAGGCCCTGGATTTGATCCCAGCACCACACAAAAAACACACAACAGAAAACTAATTATATAGTTTGAATATGTTAAACTATGACTTACCTATTTTGTAGTCTCAGGTGAGCTACTCTAGATCACAGCCTAATTGTAAGCTATATTTTTCTATATAAAAATAAATTTTCTTGGGCTGGGGATATAGCTCAGTTGGTAGAGTGCTTGCTCTGCATGCACAAGGCCCTGGGTTCAATCCCCAGTACCAAAAATAAATAAATAAATAGATAGATAGACAGATTGATTTTCTCCTAGTATCACAGATTAAAAGATGCCATTATTAATTAAGATTTAAAGAGATATAATGAAATACTTGTTTTTCATGACAATATTACTAGTATCTATAGAAAGATATTCTTACCCTTGAGAAAAGATAACAAACCTTCAGAATAATCAATTTCTTTTATTAACATTCTTTACAGAAATATTTTTTAAAAGAATGACAAAATTACCAGTAAGCGAAACTTCAAGGTTAAAATTAAAGATGAAACACTGTAAAAGGATTTTACCACAAATATTATTGAAAGGATATTTTGAAATAAAATAGTCCTATTACAAACATTTTTATATTTTGAGTGTCAAAATGAATTTCACAAGATAATTTCCTTTTCATCAGCAACTATTTAGATAAAAGTAAACAATATAAATATTAACTAAATATGTTTTTATCATTATAGGTAAATGCCTATGATTTATTTCTATTTATTTGTTTAGGGTGCTAGGGACTGAACCCAAGGCCTCATGCATGCTAAGACTTGGCTCAGTGGTTAAGCGCTCCATGGTACAATCCCTGGTACAAAAACAAACAAACAAAACAACAACAAAATCCACAGCTCAAACCACCTGTTTCTTTAAGATTCATCAGCTATCTACTTCTAAAAAGTCCTTATCAGAGCTATTTCTTCATACCCAACATTTACTAACCCAACAGATGGGTCTTTAAAATGAGGCATGTAATTTTACTTCCAACTCATTGATTTTCAAAACTCAACTGGAGGCTTAAAAATATTTTAGAATACAAACAGACCTCTTGAATTAAACCATTCTCAACATTTGTCCAGGATTTGTTTGTGAACTCATTTGTTGTTACATACAAGGTTTAAACATGCTTACTAGAGGTTACAGACAAAAACCATTACTTGAAACTTTGAAACCTATCAAGGAAACTCCTAATGCAACATCACTGCTTTTTCCTTCTCCTGTAAGAATCATTACTGTGAATGCGTACTCGCTGGTGCACAGAGGATGCTATTTTCATGCTGTCTTTCTTTGTAAACATCTTCTCTACTGTTCCAGGTTTCCAAAGTAACAACTGTGCATCTTCTCCCCCTGTCAGCAGAGAATCATCCTGTGTATTCCAATAGAAAGAACGAACGGTGGCGGCATGTCCTCCCTGAAGGGTAGTCACATGGGTCAGTCCTGACGTGGTGCAGTTCATTAAGTGAATCCTTCCTGTGTTTGTTCCTCCAATAACAAACAATTTGTCCATCTTTTCATGATAGAGGCCACCAATCAAATAGTCCAAATTACCTTCTTTCACGTTAACTATTTCTCTGACATCCTGGATGTTCAAACGTGTAATTGGTTCATCAGTATCCAAATGATTAAGATCCCACCAACAAAATCCTTCATCATGTGTCATGCAGTAAATCTGTTTATAATCCTTCCCAGACCAACCAATACAGCTTACGGATGACACTGAGTTACAGGTTGTAACTAGTGCATCTTCTTCATTATCAACATTAATATCAAATACATTTACCAAGCCATCAGTTGAACCGGAGACGACCATGTTGGGATTGCTGGGATGGAAATGTACTTGAGTGATATCATCACTATGTGTCTCTGAATATGTACCGAGTGGGTCTCTACTAGTAGACAAACCCTGAGAATTAACTCTTGCATCCCAAAATACCAACAATGCATCATCGTCCACTTTTTCTGTACCAGCACAAATGACATGATCATTACAATTGATATCAAAGCTGATGAAAACATTGGAAGTGTACCCCTTGAACAGCTGAACAGGTTTTTCACTGGCTAATCGAGCGTCCCAACATTTTACAGTGCCATCAGTACTTGCTGAATATACACTGTCACATGAATTGGAGAACTTGACTCCATTAAGAAGTCCAGGATATCCATTAAATTCTCGTAATATGTTTAATGTTTCTTTATCGTATATCCTTATTGATCCATTAGAACATAAAACAGCAACCAAGCTTCCTTTTTTTTCTTGTACAGTCTTCGATGTGTCTATGTCAAGCAGATAAGTGGGTTCCTTCGGTTCCGAGGAACGCTTAACAATATGCAGGTTAGAAAATTGTTCCTCAATCTTCTCCATATCAACAGTATCACTCAATGATAGTAAAACTCTGTAAAACAGAAATATAAAAAATAAAATTAAACTAAATTAAATTTAGTTTCTCTAATGTTGCAATTAGGTAATAAAAAAAAATTGGCACAGCTGGGCACAGTGGCATATGTCTGTAATCCCAGCAGCTTGGGAGGCTGAGGCAGGAGGGTTGAAAATTCAAAGCCAGCCTCAGCAACTTAGGGGAGAGTCCTAAAGCAACTTAGTGAGACCCAGGCTCAACATAAAAAATAAAAAGAGCTGGGGATCTAGCTCAGTAGTTAAGTTCCTTGGGTTTGATCCCTAGTTAAAAAAAAGGCACAGAATAGAAATGGAAGCTGTTCTAATATTTTAATCATTTCCCTATCACAATATAACTAAAACTCAGTTGCCTTCTAATTTACTCTTTAATGCTGCATTTACCATAGGTATTTCTTAGCTAGTAAGAAAAGATATAAATTATATATATATCACTTAGTAGTTCCTTTTAGTTCAAACCCAATTATTGGTCCTGCTCACAGTCCTCAGTATTGGCAAACACTGTGAATCATTATCTGGCCCCAGGTCCCTTATACAACTTTAAAATTTAGCAGGGATGTGTAGGCCATGGGGGGAAAAAAGTTCCCCAGAGATGTTCATGCCTTAATCCCTGGAACCTGAGTATAAGTTAGGTTACATGGAAAAGGAGAAATGAGGTTGCAGATGGAATTAAGGTTGCCAATTAGCCTAATTTAAAGCTGCTCTTAAAATAGGGAGATTACCCTAGATTATCTGGGTAGACCTAATATAATCACAAGTGTTTTTAAAAAGTAGAAGAGAAACACAGAAGTGTCAGAGGGAGATGTTACATGAAAGAAAGGCACAGAGAGATACAACATCACTGGTTTTTAAGATGGGGGTCATAAGCCAAGAAATGTAGATAGCCTCTATAAACTGGAAAAGGCAAGAAAGCATTCTCCTCCAGAGGATTCAAGTGGAAATGCAGGTCCACTGACACCTTACTTTTAGTCCAGTGACATCCACCTTGGACTTCCGACCTTCAGAACAAGAAGCTATGAAGTAAGTGTGTAGTCATTTGTTATAGCCCCATAGGAAACTAATAAGTCCCCAGGACAGAATCTTGGAGAAGTGTTTCTCAGGCAGTAGCAACTTTTAAATGGTGGGACTGGTTTTGAACACAGACATTCTGGCTTTAGGAAATGAACTCATACAACCACACTAGATTGCCTCTCCCTGGTAGATTTTATGTGGAGAAAGTTCAAAGCCAGAAAAGTCTGAACTCCTAGTGACTTTATCACAGCTTTCTTTCTTTTTTTTTTTCGGTACTGGGGATTTAATCCAGGGGTGCTTTACCACTAAGCCACATCCCTAGCTAATAGCTATCTATCTATCTATCTATATATTTATATTAGTTGGAGTTGAATACAATACCTTTATTTTATTTATTTATTTTTATGTGGTGCTGAGGATTGAACCCAGCATCTCGCAATGTGCTAGGCGAGTGCTCTACCGCTGAGCCACAACCCCAGCCCCTTTTTATTTTCTATTTTGAGACAGGATTCCATTAAGTTGCTTAGGGCCTCACTCAATTTCAGAGGCTGGCTTTGAATATGAGATCCTCCTGCATCTCCAATGACTGGGATTACAAGTGTGCACCACCACGTCCAGCTCACTACAAGTTTTTCTATGGTACTTTTCGCTAATGAATATCCTAGTCTGCTTCACTAACTAATCCACAACTTTATTCTTAATTTTTTTTCTGTTGCTTTAGTGATAGCTTTGGAAACATCCATCTTTTCATCTTTAAGAGAAGTGACTACTAACTCAACAGTTATGAGGATTAACTGAAATAATATGTGTAATGTGTTCTGCTTCACGTCTGATATAGCATAATACATGTTCAATAAACATAACTGTAAAAATCACCAGTATCACCACTACCTTTTCCACTAACACCAAATGATAAAGAAGTTGGATCTATCAGAGTGGCCTCAAACAGCATAATTGGTGGTTAAAAAAATATCAAAAAGTTGGGTCTAGGGTTGTGGCTCAGTGGTAAAAGGATTGTCTACCATGTGTCAGGCACTAGGTTCGATTCTCAGCATTGCATAATGAATGAAATAAAAAAAGGCCCATCAACATCTGAAAAAATATTAAAAGGTACATTCAAAATTGGCACATGAACTATCCCCATCTTTTAATTTTGAAATTTAAAAACTATAAAAACTGCTAGGCATGGTGGTACATGCCTGTAATCCCAGTGACTGGAGAGGCGAAGGCAGGAAGATTGCAAGTTTGAGACTAGCCTCAGCAACTTAGTGAGGCCCTAAGGTCTTAGTGAGACCCTCTCTCAAAATAAAATATAAAGGGCTGGGAATGTGGCTCAGTGGTTAAGTGACCCCTGGCTTCAATCCTGGGTACCAAAAAAATAAAAGTAAAAATAAATTCAAAAATAAATAAAAATAAAAACTATAAAACCTGCAAGAATAATATAATGAACACATATAAACACACACAGTCCTTAACCTCCTAGAGTCCCCAACTGTTAACTTCTTGCCACATTTGTTTTCTCTCTGTATCTATATACATACATCTTATTTTGTGTGAACCATATGAAAGTTTGTTACAGAAGAAATACCACTTCATTTCTAAATATTTCAGCATAAGAACACCTCCCCAACCTTGTTTTTCATGACACTGAATGTTTTTAAAAGTCCAGGCCAACTGTCTCAAAAGATGTCCCACATTCTCGATGTGTCTGTTTCCTCATGACTAAATAGCAGTTTAACACTGTGGGTAGGGATACTATTTAGGTGATACTAAGTACTTCTTGTTGCATCACCTCAGGGAGGCATATGATGTCAAGTTATACTGGGATCTGCTAAGCAGTTATTCAATCATTCTTTCTACCTCATTTTGACTTTCATCTAGAAAACTATAAAGATTCTCACTCTCTGCCCCTCCCTTCCTCTCCATTGTCACTAAGAAATTATTTTTAATAATTGTATAATAGTTCATTGCCTTTTTTTTTTTTTTTTTTTTTGAGATCGGAATTTGTTAGCTTTTTCGTTGCTGCAACCAAAATACCCAACAAGAACAACTTAAAAGGTGGAAAAGTTTATTTGGGGCTCACAGTTTCAGAAGTCTCAGTTCCATAGATAGCTGTTCCATTGCTCTGGGCCCAAGATGGGGCAGTGCAACATGGGGGAAGGGCCCAGTGGAGGAAAGAGGTCAGGAAGCAGAGAAAGGAGAGAAGGGGTGGGGAAGGGGTTGGCTCTCAGGGAAGATGAACCCTCTCAGGACACATGCCCCTGCTTACCGTTACCAGCCAGTCTCCAGGATGGATAGTGTGAATGGAGCTCTTATTATCTAGGCACTGTACCTCTGTATATTCCTGCAGCAACTCAGGAGCTTTGGGGAGACACCTCACATATACAAACCATAACATGGTCTAGTTATTTGTCCAGTTATTCCTGAGCTTAAGAAGTTCCTGCCTTAGTCTCCCAAGCAGCTGGGACCACAGGCATAAGCCACCACACCCAGCTTGTTGCCTTTGATGTCCAGACTGTTCCAACTGGACACTGAGAAATACTTTTGGTTTTTTTAAATAACATTACCCTGTCAGTCTATAATCCCTACATGGATAAAACTATGGAATTACATTAGACTAAAAATAGTAAACTTCCTTCAATTTAAGTATTCCAAGACTAAAGAACCAATGACTAGTTATGCTGTGGTAGTTACCAGCATAACTGTTGGTTTTCCAACCAAACAGGCTAAAATGGCTTCTTTCCTGGAACATATCATGGTTTCTCCTACCTCAGTACTATAACAACAGCTGTTTCTCTGCCTGGAATACTCTTTCCCCACATTTTCTACATGAATAACTCCTTCCTGTTATTCAGGTCATAGTATATGTCACCTCCCCAGAGAGAACTTCCCCATAAACCAACATAAAGAAGCCCTCTTGTTCCCTGTCACATTGCCTATTCTATTAATTTAAAAAAATTAATTGCTTAATTACAGAAAACTTCAAATGTACAAATAGGTGTAGAAGAAAGTATAACAGACACCCAAATATGTAATACCCAGATTTAACAGATGCTAACATTTTTGCCACATTTGCTTCAGAATTTTTATTTAAATAATTGAAACATTACAGACACAATGAAAACTTTTACTCCTATGCTTAAGAATTTATAAAAAGGAACTACATTTATGTGTATCTGCTGTGAAGTTTACACTATTCATTCAATAATTTTTGAGAAGCCCTGTTTTATTAATGAACATTATAGGAAAATGGTTGCTTATGCCATTAAAAACTGGTCATTGAGGGCTGGGGCTACAGCTCAGTGGTAGAGTGCTTGCCTCACATGTGTGAGGCACTGGGTTTGAGCCTCAGCACCACTTAAAAATACATAAAATACAATTTAAAAAATAATAAAAGAGCCTAAGAGTTCTAGGAGCAACAGAATAAACCTGAAAGGACATTGCATGCATCTGTGTGTTTGCAGGGGAATTCCACTCATGGGAATTTGTAAAATGAAGGCATTCAAAGTACAAAATGAAACTACTAAGATTTTACATTTGTGAAGAAAAAACATTATTTAGCATAATTTTTTACCACAAGATATTCAAAATATCCTAAAATGTGCATTTAACTTTTCAGTCCACAATTACAGGGTGACCTCATTTACATTCATGTTTTTAATTGCCACCTGTCAGTGAATAATCCCATCTATCTATACACAAATCCACATGTCCAACTGTCTACTGGTGATTTCTCCTTGGATGTGTCCTACCATACCCCAAAACAAAAGGGGCTATTTATTTATTTATTTATTTTTGAGAGAGAGAATTTTGTAATATTTATTTTTTAGTTTTCGGCAGACACAACATCTTTATTTTATTTTTATGTGGTGCTGAGGATCAAACCCAGTGCCCCGCGCATGCCAGGCGAGCACATTACCGCTTGAGCCACATCCCCAGCCCCAAAAGTGGTTATTTATGCTCCCCTCTTCCCAAAACCTTGCCCTTGAAAAATACTAAACAATTTATAAGTCTCAATTGTCTCCATTTTGTTCAATGGTATTTGCATCATAATGGTACCTTGCTCTATCTAGTTCTCACGTTAGAAATCCTCATAAATATCTCACTCTTCCATTCAGACCACTCATTCAATCTCCAAATCCTACTTTTGAGCAAGCTGCTTAGAGAAACATTAGATTAAATCTATTTCTGTAGATCAAAATGATATTGAAATTTCATATGGCTCAACCTAACCAACACATGTGGAGAACAAAATTAACCATGAATTTAATCTTTTTTTTTTGTCTGTTTGTTAGATGCACAAAATAATGCTTAATTAGCATTCTAGATCTCAACAGTTTAAGAAATATTACAGAGAGAGCTAAGGAGGTGAAATGAGAATATTATGGTTTAGATATGTGGTATCCTCCCAAAAAAGAACTTATGTATGAGACAATGCAAGAACAGAGGTGAAATGATTAGATTATGGGACTTGAACCTAATCAGTGGATTGAACCACTGACATGGATTAACTGTGTAGTAATTGGAGGCAGGTCACTGGGGGCTTGCCTCTGGGGTTTATATTTTGTCCCTAGTGAGTGCAGCTCTCTTTCTGCTTCCTGATTGCTATGTCCAGAACTGCTTTCCCCCACCATGCCTTTTTTCCATGTTCTGCCACACCTTGGGCCGAGAGCTATAAACTAAAACCTCTGAAACTTGGGAAGCTGAGGCAGGAGGACTTCAAGCTTGAGGTCAGCCTCAGTAATTTAGTGGGGCCTGAAGCAACTCAGTGAGACCTTGTCTTTAAAAAAAAAAAAAAGGTTAGCGAAATGGCTCAGTAGTTCTAAGTGCCCTTCAAGGTTCAATCCCTAACACCCACCCCATCCTTCCAAAGTTATTGTCAGGTCTTTTGGTCACAGCAGCAAAAAACCTGACTAGAAGAGATATATGAGAATACACACATACACAAACACACACATGCACACATGGAGGGACAGAAGAGTACCAAAGGAGACAATAAACGAAGATAGGCAAAAAGAGATCAATAAAGAGAAATACATAAGTGAAAACGAAGTTACTGCTACTTCCTTTTCAATCCTACAGATACACTGCTGTCCAAACCCTTCCCAACACTGAGAGGAGATAAGAGAAGGTCCAGATAAAGAAACAGGTAGAGGGATGGGGATGTGGCTCAAGTAGTAGTGCTCTTGCCCAACCACATCCAATTTAAATTTGGACCTAACTGTTCTGGGAATGGAGGTAGATTACTAATATCTCATCTTTTTTTTTTTAATATTTATTTTGTTGTAGTTGAACACACAGTATCTTTATTTATTTTTATGTGGTGCTGAGGATTGAACCCAGTGTCTCACACATACAAGGCAAGCACTTTACCATTGAGCTACAGCCTCAGCCCCTAATATCTCATCTTGACCTATAATTCCTTCAAAGAGCTATCTACTTCAGTCCAAGAAATAGCAGAAAACTAGCAGTGCCCTGGTGCTGAGCCATGGCAGCTGTTGTGATTGTTACTGGGATACAAAATTCTCAGGTATGTAAATAGTGCAGTGGCTGGGAGAAATTTAGAAAGATACCTCATGGACACCTTGGGGCTTCAAATAATAACTACTTGTTGAACAGCCATCCTGCAACATTTTCGGGGAGGGATACTGGGGATTGAACCCAGGGGGTGCTTTACCTCTGAGCTACATCCTCAGTCCTTTTTTATTTATTTTGAGACAGGGTTTTACTAAATTATTGAGGCCAGCCTTGAACTTTCAATCCTGTTTCAGTCTCCCAAACCGATGGGATTACAGGCATGTACCATTGCATCTGGCCCATCTTGCAATATATTACATGAGAAATGCTGACTGATCTCTGATCTGAATCATTGTTCTTAGCTGACTACTAGCTGGTACATGCCTATAATCCCAGCAGCTCGGGAGGCTGAGGCAGTAGGATGCGAGTTCAAGGCCAGCCTCAGCAATTTAGTGAGGCCCTAAACAACTTAGCAAAACCCTGTGTCAAAAAAAGGGCTGGGGATGTAGCTCAGTGGTTAAGTGCTCCTGGGCTCAACCCCCAGTACCAAAACAACAACAACGAAAGGTTGACTACTTAATAACAAAATCACTAAACTTAAGAATGAACTCCTCTTGCAGGTTTTTTTCTATTTTTTGTGGTACCAGGGATTGAACTCAGGGGCACTCGACCACTGAGCCACATCCCAGCCCTATTCCTTATTTTATTTAGAGACAGGGTCTGACTAAATTGCTTAGTCTAATGTTGAGAGCCACAGCCGAAGGGGCCTCAGCAAACTTCCAGCTGCCAGCACCATCTGCCAGCTGATGATTGGCTCACAGTGGCCCCAGCAAACTTCTAGCTGCCAACTGATTGGCTCCTCTGCGGTGATGCTCATTGGGTTGTTTCCCTGCCTTTTCAGACCACAGAGCTGCTCATTGGGGGACTTTTTTTGGCTCTGCCCACGCGACCCAGCCAATTGGCCTCAAGAGCAGAAGGAGTGGGGGGGTTGAGAGGCTTGTGGGAAGCTGGTGGTGGCAGTTGGGCTCTGAGGGTTTTTCCTGAAGAGCTGTGTGGTGCGGTGTGTGTGTGTTCTAAAAATAAAGTTGTTTCTTTTGACAAGTGGCTCCTGAATTGTGCCCAGCCAGACTGTGGCAGTCTAAGGTCCTTGCTTAGCATCTGGATGGCCATCTTAAGTGACAGCTGCCATTTTAAGGAAAAAGTTTCACTTTCCCACCCAAGGGACTTCCCTGAGAAAGGTTCACCACTCCCTTATACCAACCCAACACTTAACCTTCCTCATTAGGACCTGCCTGGTTCTGATTCCTGAGCCTCCCCCATAAAAGTCCCAGAACCCACGCCTGTTTTGCATCTCTCTCCTATAGAGAGGTGGCCTTTGTCAGCTCTGACAAACTCTTGTGTATATCTCTGACTGGTCTCTATCTTTCATTTCTCGCTTACCTGTCTCTCGTTCCTTGCTTATCCTTCACTTAGCACCTTTCTTTTGCTGAGGCTGCCTTTGAACTTGTAATCCTCCTGCCTCAGCCTTCAGAGCTGCTGGGATTACAGGCATGTGCTCACCACACCAGGCACTCTTGCAGCTTTAAAAAAAAAAATTAAGTTGTAGATGGACACAATATTTTTATTTCATTTATTTATTTTCATGTGGTGCTGAGGATCCAATCCAGTGCCTCCCACATGCTAGGTAAGTGCTCTACCACTAAGCCACAACCCCAGCCCCTCTTGCAGTTTTTGCCTAAATAAAATTTAAGCTATTTTTATATATCAAATGTTATTTCATTTTATTTCCTATTAAAAGAAACCAAATAATATGGTCTTCCTATTTTAAAATACATCTTAAATAAATCCAACTTCAACTGAGTATTGCTTATTACTCAACTGGATCAGTTTGAATATGAAATATGACAGAGAGACTAATTTAAATAATTTCATAAAAGAAGTAGATAAAAAGTATTAAATTACCTTATGAAATGTACTATAGTTGAAGTCTCTGTGAATTATTTTTTTAAATATTTCTTTTAGTTGTAGATGGACATAATATCTTTATTTTTATTTATTTATTTTTATGTGGTGCTAAGGATCGAACCCAGGGCCTTGTGCATGCAAGGCAAGCACTCTACCACTGAGCTATAACCCCAGCCCTCTGCGTATTATTTTTGTGTAAAATAAAATATAAGCAGTGCCCTTAGAAGTCTATTTTTATTTTTCAGGTTGAAATGTTCATCATTTTATGTAAAAGATTTGACAACACAATTAACAATTGCACAGAAGTATATGATTTTCTTTTGAGACAATTTATCAGATGTGGATTGGAAAATCCTAATTCCCCACAGCTGGAACTCAATATTGCCTACTGACTATAAGGACCTAGCTCTGATGATTGTGAAATACAAAAGTCCCTAACAAAGAAAGAAGTATAATGGGAAAGGTCATTCAGAAACGGGCTCTAAATATTTAGTGACCCATACTTACGATTTAACAATAATGTCACTACATCTATTAAATTGGGCCAGGATAATTAAGCCAGAGAAGAAAATCAAAATTGGAGTTTAAGAAATACTAGGTTATATGTCAGAAACGTTATCTCCAGCTTTTTCTAAAATCTTAATCATTTAACCCTGTGAGACAGTATTATCATCACCATTTTACAGAGGACACTGAAGCTCATGAGCTCACTTGTCCATGCTCTCTCATACCTTGAGAGCATGAGTAACCATACTGGGGGAATCTGGTTTGAAATTGAAGTAACCTCAAAACCTGTGAATCTATATTCATTCAAATACTAAGCTATTGCTGAACCGAAGTATTACAGGTTTAATTTTTTCCTTAACCAAAAACTCAAAATGTTCCAAAAACCCAAAGCACTCTAAAATTCAACATCTTTTTAGAGCTGACATGACAGAAAATTTTATGCTCAATCTTGTGATGGAGCACATTCAAAACACAGTTGTACTAAAAATATTGTATGAAATTGTTTTCAGGCTATGTGTAAAAGATGTATATGAAACAGAAATTAATTTGTGTTTAAACTTGGGTTCCTTCCTCAAGACACATGCATAAATATTCCAAAATCTGAAAAACTCTAAAATCTGAAACACTTAAAACACTCAATCTTTATTATCAACTTTAATTAAGAATAAGCACATTAGGCTTTGAGAAAAAGGAAGCAGTGTGATCGGAAAAACATACCAACCTAGAAAAGTTTATAGTAAGCAACCATCCTTTGTTTTTTTGGTACCAGGGATTGAATCCAGGGGAAGTAAACCACTAAGCCACATCCCCAGCCTTTTTTATTTTATTTTTGATAGTTGTAGATGGAGAGAATGCCTTTTATTTATTTTTATGTGGTGCTAAGGATCGAACCCAGTGCCTCACACATGCTAGGCAAGCACTCTATCACTGAGCCACATTCCCAGCTGTTTTTTGTATTTTATTTAGAGACAGGGTCTCATTGAGTTGCTTAGGGCCTCGCTAAGTTGCTGAGGCTGGCTTTGATCTTGGGATCCTCCTGCCTCAGGCCCAGTCACTGGGATTACAGGTGTACCACCGTGCCTGGCACCATCCTTTACTTTTAATTTTTGTATTCTACTTTTATTTATTTATTTACTTGCTTACTTACTTATTTATTTTTAGTTGTAGTTGGACACAATTCCTTTATTTATTTATTTATTTATATGTGGTGCTGAGGATCGAACCCAAGGCCTCGCACGTGGTAGGCGAACACTCTACTGCTGAGCCACAACCCCAGCCCCTACTTATTTATTTTTATTTTTAAATATTTTTTAGTTGTAGTTGGACACAATGCCTTTATTTTTATTTATTTATTTATTTTTATATTCATTTATTTTTTAATGTGGTGCTGAGGACTGAAGCTAAGGCCTTGCACATGCTAGACACAACCACAGCCCCTCCACTTTTATTTTAACAAACTTTTTGTTATGGAGTAGAGAATAGTAAAAGAAACCCCCTAAAGCCCTCACTCTGAAAAATAATTACATTCTCCAAAAGTTACTATTAGTTACAGAGGAGTCAGTTGTGTGTAATATTTCATTTGATGAGCAATTAAGAAACCTGAATGGACAGAATGATGGTACTCCTCAAATCCTTCTTCTTATCCTCCATGTGGCACCAGGATGGTTTCTGGATTTCACTTCAGCTCCAGGGACCAACCTTGATTAGCCTAGACCAACCACAGCATCTTATCCCTTTCATCATTAATTGGTTCAGAAACCTTACAAAAATGCCACTCTGTGCATCCATGCCCCTCCCTACCAGAAGTTCTAAACTGGAACCAAGCCAATTGATGGACAGAACTTTTTACACCATAGTTATGGGATTTGACATCTCCTGATTATTTAAGTCAGTTTGCTGCAGAATTTTTTGTTAATGCAACCAGCACCCCCTTAATTAGAGATAAGAGAAAAGGAAATAAACAAAGGAACTCTCAGAAGACTATAAAATATACTCAGTAATTATGGTAGAAGCCCTGATTCTAAAGACAGCAACAAAATAAACACAACACTGAAGTGAGAGATTCAAAAATTCTTAATATACAACTCCATCTGGGAAGTTTCTGTATGTTCTAATAATGTATACATATATTTATGAATAATATAGTCAACATGGTTCAAAATTCAAAAGGCTCCAAAACTACTGTTTTGGAATGTTTCTGTCTTCAAGACTCTTTCCTCTCCTAGGCAATAAATGTTACCAGTTTCTTATGAATACTTTCAGAAATTGTCAACTTGGATTTAATGTAAACATAACAGTGAAGTATTTGTAGCTTAACAAAAACTTGCCAGTGTGGTACAATTAAAATAGCAATGGGTTTAACCAAAGCAAAAATCCTCACTTTAAACACTTGTTTTACCACAAATTAGCAAAGCAGCCCAACAGAATCTCCTTCCCCAAGCCAATACCCCCTTTTCCTGAAGCATTACTGAGGCAAGTGAAAATAAAGCTTGAGTATTCTAACTCTCCTGACCTGGTGAGAAGGTAGTTAAGGGAGTGGGTGGGCGAACCCTCCTGCCTACACTGAGGGCCTCAGCAAAGAGCTGTGAGGGATGCCAATTTTTAAGGCCTCCAAGCCAAGTCTGAGAAATGAGAAACAGCTGACAGGAGAGAAACAACTTGGAACATGGGGAACTGCTACTTGCTATAGGGCACTTATTGGGACCTCAGCAGAGAGAATAGAACCCAGATGCCCAACCAAAAACTGCCACAGCCCCAGCACAGGAACACATTTTTGCCTGTGGAAGGGATGCCACGTCATGCCAGGTGATCAAGGGGTAATGTGTCTTTTTCTGCCTGCTGGTTTGATGCAGAGGACTCCAAGGCCCACTGGACAGGAGAGCCATAAAGCAAAAGAAGGCCCAAGTCCTCTCATCAGCACTTGAAAGGGTGAAAGTTGAACAGAAACGTTCGCTTGAGTGCATCAGTTAATTAATTGTGTACATATCTACAACATGTAGTTTAAATAAAACATCCAACTATAAAGATCTCAATTTCTAATATTTTTTTATCTTAAAAAAATAAATTTGAAATAAATTTTCAAGAACTAGAATACTGTACTAAACACCTGATTTACAGTCATTTCTTTCATTTTTTTGTGTGTACTAAATCCAACTTAAACTAAATAGAATACTACTTAGAGAAAAATGTATAACTTTATTTCTATTCATGCATATTCTGTCCATTGCAAAGGAAGGTGTCTAGAAAAATATCAAATGTATTTCAAAGTAATTGGAGCAGGCTGGGGTTGTGGCTCAGTGGTAAAATGCTTGCCTAGCATGTGAGAGGCACTTGGTTCAATTCTCAGCACCACATATAAATTAATTAATTAATTAATTAATTAATTAAAGGTCCATCAATAACTAAAGAAATATTAAAAACAAAAAAACAATGTAACCGGAGTATGTGTGTGTATGTGTGCAGGGGTAGTATACTTTCTAATTTTTCTATATTGTTCAACATTTTAATTGTCATAATAACATTCTAACAATCCCCAAGTATTACATGTCCATTTACTGATGATAAAAGCATAGCCAATATAAAACTACTTTCTGAATTCATCATTCTTATTCCAGATACTATGCTATTAATTCCTATACTATAATGCCTCTGTAATAAGTATATTATACTTTTTAAAAATAAGGATATACTATTACCTTTATGGAAGCATATATCATATTAATTTTCAAAAAGGGATGAATATTAGCAGAGCACTTGGAAACAATATCTGCCAATGTCTAATGTCATGTACCTATGGCAAGGTCAATGGCAAACCTGAAAAATCTAATGGTAACCACACTAGCTCTACACTGGACACTAAAGAGAGTTATTATTTATGAAGCATATCTAATGTCAGCTTATCCAAAACAACACTGCACAGGGGAAGCCTAGGAATCTGGGTATTAACATTTCAGAAAAACGGAAGACTGACACAGGCACAAATCACTCATGGCCATATGCAGTATGTCCTAGAGGGAATAATACCTTGGGATAAAAAGCATACATTGATTTAACTTCAGTAGAACATTTCCCATAAGACATTTATATCAACAATTTAGAGAAATTTGTG